GGCCTGCAAAGCGCTCAGTGGATAGCGAAAATCCATGGAAAAACACTCGTCTGAGATTCGACCGAATTGCATTACAATGTAATCAGCTGCAAAAACATATTTCGTCATAAAATCGGAAAAATTCAGAGAAAATAACTTACGGTCATGATCATGTATGATTTGAAAATTCTTCACCGATGCTTGTGTTACACGTCCATGAAAATTCAAGACATATGATTGTGAATCTGAAAGTAAACTAAGTAAAGTAAAGAGAATTTCCTCAACTTCAAAAAGATTCTTTGCTAGAATATTCCATAGGATCTATCGCACGCAAATAGAAGTCGCAGTTGAAGTAAATGCACTTTCGTTCCTCTAGCCGTCTGTATCCCTCTACAGTACGTACTCTCTTAATCTTACGCAACGGCGTTCAGTCTTTCTTCTGTACTACACATGATGCTCTCTTGTTATAAAAATATATTAGGATTTACGCAAGATTTCTGGGCCATGATATTTATGATATATCTTCTCTTCAATGAATTGAAGAATAAAACTGAATTTTTCTTTTTGAGCGATAGAACGAACTACTTAAAAGTACAAAAAATCTGAATATTCACCTCTCATTTTCTTTATCTTACTAAGCAATTTATGTAATTTTATGCAGATTTTCTAAAATTTTCCAATATTTTGGCAAATATCATCTATCTTCTAATAAGTATAATAGCATACCTTCATTCCATACAGGACTTTTATTCTGCATTACAATGATATCATCTGTTCGACGTTGACGGTACCTTTCTAACAGTGTATCCTTCGCCTGAATATCAATTTTTGTAAAAAAATATTCTTTCCAAACATTCTTTGCCAATGATATACTTACCGCTACGGGACGAATCGACTTGCGTTCATATGTGTTGATATCATAGATTCCAGGTATGAGAATATGCATTCTACGTGGACCTTTGAATCCGAGCACATTTGTGTCCTGCAATCAAAAAAATGTCACAATCTTTCCTCTACGCTTTTTGAAGACCATAAAAAACCTTCGACGGTGGCGCAATCACGCTTCAAAAGCAAAGCGTGCCTCAAAGCGAATTTACAAAATTAAAAAATTCAAAAACTTTTAAAAGTGGCGAAGAATTTTGAAAAGAGCAAGAAGAATATGTAAAAATTTTAAGACTGTAGGGATTTCGATTTCAAAACTCCATGTTCTTCTGTCGAGCCCTGAGGCTATCTTAGAAAAAATATGTTGTTTTGTCCAAGAAAAAAATTAAAGTGACTCACATATATGACTGCTGCAAGTTCTTGTCGGACATCGCTGGTGTTATTGGATTTTTTCGGGTTTGCACCACAATCATAGAGAGTGAACATGGTCCCTATGGCATTTGATCTGGAGAAATTTTTTTGGTTGAGGTGCCGAAAAACCGTATTTAGTTTGAGTCATATGTATGTCTGCACACAT